CCCTCCTCTCTGGACACCGGGGCCCAGGCCCACTCTGCCCACACCCTCAGCTTTCTGTCCACCAGACTGGGGTGGGGGCCCACTGCACGCCCCTTTCTAACCAGCCCTTCCCACCAGGCCCCTCTGTTCATGGGGTTCTCCAGGCAAGATCACTGGAGAGGGTTGCCATGCCCTTCTCCAAGGCAGGGTTTAAATCAGAGGTGCGAACCAATGAGTGAATGAATGAATGAATGAATGCTATCAGGAGCTGCTTCCTCCTGGTTGCACTGGTTGAATTCAGAGGCTGGGAAGGAAACTGGAGCGGGTAAAGGATGGCCTCAAGGGAGCCAGGTCTCTGGGCAAACAGGCTGAAGAGGGGCTCTGCCAGACGCAGGTGGAGTCCAGCCCCTAGGAAGCTCAGAGGCCAGGACGTCTCAAGAGGGAGCCTTTCTTAAATCAGGCTCTGATGAAGGTGGGGAGAATCCTGCGGAGGGGGTGTGGGGTGCAGGCGGTCTCCCCATGTCTCCACTGCACCCTCCTCTCTGGACACCGGGGCCCAGGCCCACTCTGCCCACACCCTCAGCTTTCTGTCCACCAGACTGGGGTGGGGGCCCACTGCACGCCCCTTTCTAACCAGCCCTTCGAGCCACCGGGGAGGAAACAGAGGTGATGTTGCCGCCTGAGTGCAAAGGGATGCAGGGAGAGGGAAGATATTCCAAGGGTCCAGGGACACCGCCAGGCCAGCGATGGGAGGAGGGTAGGCGGTGATGCAGCTGGGGCCAGGGAGACACAATAAGATGGAGAGAAATGAAGCGGGACCCCACCCGAAGCCAGGGGTCACGGGGCAGGTCTAGAGGGTCGGCTGGGGAGGGGTGGGGGGGGCCGGGGGGTGACAGCTCTGGCATTTCGAAGGGCACCCGGGGGCCAGCGCCTGACTTGATGAGACCTCGGGAGCTCGATAGACTTTCCAAACCTAATTAGTGTTTAATGGTCTGGAGAGACGCCACATCCGCCATCACCGGCCGCACCATGCCGGCCGGCTTCAGATTCTTAATTAACCTTTAAGGAGACGATCCACTGTGGCCGCCTGGGGAGGCCACGTCCATCCCCATTGGCGCGCGCATCAGGGGTGCACGGCTCTCTGCGCAGAGCGAAGCGCCCTGCACGCGAGGCTGAGGGTGACTACAGCCTCCTGCTCTGAACCAGGTTTTCTTTCGAGAAGGCTCTGGAGCACGCACCCCACTGAGGCTACTGGCTCAGAATTACTGCAAGTCAGGGAGGCAGCTCTATGCCATGTTAAGTCGCTTCGGTCATGTCCGATTTTTTGTGACCCTATGGACCCCGTGAACACTTAGGATCAGGGAGAGGGGAGGCGCAGCCACCATCCTAGGTCAACAGGGACCGCCATCTGGCAGGGGGCTGTCCCAGGAGCAAGACAGGCCTGTGACGTCGAAGCTGCCGGAGAGGCAGGGACCATCTGACCAAAGGGGACTTTGTCTCCTTGTGAGGGGATGGGCTTTAGCCCCTGGGTAGGGAGAGTCTCTGAGGGGTTCCCAGCAGCTCCTGGTTCAGAATCATCCTACTTCCTGCAAGGAATGTGGGGCGAGGCAGAGTGAGGGGACCGTCCAGGTGGAGGTCAGCAGTGCCTGCAAGAGGGTTCGGTTCCAACCTGCCCTGCCGGTGCAGAAGCTATTGAAGGCTCTGAGCCTGGCCCTGGGCAGAAGCGGTGGTGGTCCTGGTGCCAGACAACCCAGGGAATCAGCTTTGGGCTGGAGGTCATGCGTACCTTGGGGACAGCCAAGGGCCTGATAGCCTTTGAGACCGCAAGGACCCAGGATGCAAGGGAAAAGAGGGTGGTGATGGTGAGAGGGATTCTAGGGTTGCCTCCATGGGGTGCAAGTTGAAGAGAAGGGGCTGGACAAAGTCTCTGAGGGAGAACAGAGGAGGGGAGAGGGGCCAAGGGCTCCTGGAAGAACCCCACCATCAGGGGGACAGGGGCAGGCAAGCAGAGGGGCACAGTGCCAGCAATGGGGGCAGGCAATAGAGTGGAGAGCGAACCCCTCTACTTAGCACCCCATCCCCATAAGAGACACTGACGGACACCCACCCACACCCACACCACACGCACCATCCCCTCTGCCACCCATTCCCTCCACACACCCGCAGTCTTGCATACACACTCAGGTGTTCACCCCCACCAGGCGCCCCAGTGCCCACGCACACGTGATCACACTCACACCTAAGCCTGACACACTCGTGGGCAGTGCCCGTGACCCAGAGACCCTGGCGTGTTCCAGGAGGAGGGCCATGATCGATGCTTATTAATGAAGCTGCCCCGGAGATGGCTAATTGATGGCGGTGTGCGGCTGTTGTCTGGAATTTAACCTGATTCATCATTTAGCCTGTTGGAGGCTGGAGCGCTGTGTTAATTAATGCCAGGAAAACAGACTTGGATGAGCTGGCGGTGCAGGCTCGTATTAGCAAATGGAGAGCAAGGGGCAGAGGCAGGCGGTGGGGGGAGGGGGAAGAGAGAAAGAAGGAATGATTAAATCTAAAGCCCAGAGACAAAACAAATTCCAAAAAGCCAATGTCGGTGCTGTTTCTAGGATGACTCAGGTTTGCGCTTGGCTGGCACCGTCAGACTGTGGTGTGGGACTAAGAGCAATTTCCTCTAGATTTGTCATTTTCGTGGTGTGGGTTTTGTTGTTTTCCTTTATCTTGCCTGGGGACTGTCCCTCCAGGCCTGAGACTGAGCCCCGTGAGACAGGGAGGAGGGGTCCCGGGTTGGGGGAGAGTGAGGCGGAAAGCCCCCTTTCTGCTCACGGGGGTAGGTGCTGAACCTGGCAGCAGGGTCCAGAGTCCAGGGTGGCCTGTTGGGGCAAGTGGTAGAGGAGGACTCAGTGCATCAGACTCAGGGGTGGGCTGCAGGGAGATGGGGGAAGCAGAAGGGAAGGTGGGCCATGGGTCACACAGGCTGGGGTCTCCATCCAGCCCCCAGAGCTAGGCTGCCCACTCCCCTTCTCATTCCTGCCCACACAGAGGAGGCCAGGTCCAACTCAGGAAGGCAGTGGCCCCACGTGGGCTGGGAAAGGTCAGACCCAGCTGGACATAGCTGCCTGCGGAAGGCCCAGAACGCCCGAGCCGAGGGCTCTGGTGAGGTGCGTGCATGCTCAGGGTTGGATGGTCTGCACAGCTGAGGGAAGCCTTGGGTGGTGGGCTCGCCTTGCCCTATGGAGCTCTGCTACCTGGGCTGATGAAAGGAAAAGGAGGGGATGGGGTCTGGGAACACTTCCTCTCTAGTCACTAGAGCTGGCCAGGGCAGAACTGGGGCACCCGTGCAAAAAAAAGCACACCCCACTGCGGTGGCGTGGGAGCAGGTACTGAAGAGCCCCCGCCAGAGCAGAAGAAGGGAGTTCCAGGTGGTGGGTCCCCACCAAGTGGAGGGCTGAGGGGCTGAGAGTAGAGGCGCCCTGCATGGCTGCGGCCCAGAAAGGGTGGGCTTGAATGCCTTTCAGCAAGGCCCTTCTGCAGACTGGGCAGTGGGCTCCCCAGGGAAGGTCTGCTGTGCCTCCTTGTGCCGGGAACAGGGCAGAGAGGGCAGAGCTGCGGCAGGTGGGGAAGAGGCTCTGGGGGATGAGGAGTGGGGGCGGGGAGGGAAGGGAGGTGCTATCCTGTGTTTGCTGAGCACCTACTAGGTGCCGGGCACTGTACTAAGAGCCTCGCAACTGCGGGGTTCTCCACACTCCGGGGATGAGACCCTAAGAGTGACACTCCCACCTCATGGCACAAGTAGGTGGCAGAGCTAGAACCAACATCCAGGCCTCCCAAAGAAGTCAGGGCTCGTTTCATCCAGAATTATCCATCTATCCACTGCCGTTTTGTTTTGTTTTGTTTTGTTTTGTTCAAATCACACCCCCACTCCCCCGAAAAGGGTTAGCGACCCAGCCTGGCCCTGCAGGCTAATGAGCTTCGTTTCCGCGGCAGCGGACGGTAATTAGGACCACAAGGGTCCTCCCACCCTAGCCAGGGCAGCTCCGGCGCCTTGCTGGGAGCGGGTGAGACGGTCGTGGGGCTTGGAGACAAAGAGACAGGCTGCCCTTGGCCGCGTGGACTTGGGAAGCCCTGCCCGCTGGGTAGGGGCTGAGTCCAGCCGCGCTATTGCATCTCCAGGATCTCTCACTGCGCCCCCTCCCCCAACCTCACCTGCCACAGCCCCGAGAAGCATCCATCCACGCAGGGGGGACCTAACCCCCACCCCACGGGCAATGGTCGGGGGTGGGGGGGACAAGGGAAATTAAGAAACTGACCGGGAGCCCCTCCCTTTGGAAACAAGCGGGAGAGACCTTTGACCGGCCCAGGGGAGGGGGCACCTCCTTTGTTTGTACCCAGTGGGTGAGGGGAAAGCATTCTGTAAACTTGGATTCCAGAGGGCGGAGGCTGGGAGAGAGGCGGGGGAGAGAGAGAAGAAAGCGGAGGGGAGGGGAGGGGGCCGCCCCAGGCAGTCCCACCAATAGGCTCCGTCAGCGCCGCCGCTGTTCGCTGGACACTGCGGAGCAGAGCAGCCTGTTGCTATGCAACTGCCGGGGTCTGTTTGTGGGGCTGGACCACGGAGGAGGTGCGGGTTGCACAGGCTCTCGCGTCCTGCCCCACCCCTCACTGCGGGCGTGAGCTCTCCCCCCGCCCCCCCACCTGCCCGCGGATGGGGAGGAGACCCGATGCCGAGACAGCGCTGGCCGTTCCTGATCTAAACGTCCACCCCGATCGGCGCCGCTGCCCTGTGCCCGCGCTGCGCCCTTGCTCTTTCCCAGCGTGGCCCTGCTGGAATGCTGTTGCTGCCAAAACCTGACGGGGTGGAGGGAGGGGACACCACTGCCCACAGCACAGGCTCAGACCCTCCTGCGTCCACCTGACCTGTCTGCACATTGCAGTCCCTGCTGCCTGGCACCTGGCTGGCTCTTCTCCGAACTCCACCCGCGTGGTCCGCTGTTGTTCCTGCCCTGAACCCCTCCCCTCCCCCCCACCCCGCACCCTCCCCACCCCTTGAGTTTTGTTCCCCTGGCTTATCTGGTGTCCCAGAGGATGGAGGGAGGTAAGCCTAGGCGTGTGGTCAGCCCCAGATCTGGAGTTGAGGAGGACTTGAGAACTGTCACCCGCCGCGGTGGCGCATGCCTCTCCGTCCTACATCCAGGCACATGGTGGAGCCCACGCAGGTCCACACACACTCCTGTCCTGTGGGCATTAAGACAGTCGGGCCCCTGTGCCGCTTCTCCATCGCCCTCCTTCATCCCCTCCAAGGCCACTTTGGACGGCAGCAGACCACAGTGAGTCCAGAGGCCAAGACTGGCAGAGTGAGAGTTGAGCCTGGGGGGATCCGCACGGCAGTCTCCCTGGCAGAGGGCGCAAGGGCTTGGGACTCTGTTTTTCAGATGGATGAGTGGAGGTGAGGATGACGGTGAAGTCTGGGAAGGATGAGGGGTGATGAAGGATGAGGGACATCCATTTGCGATGTCCCTATGGGTGACCCAGCGGTGACCTCCCGTGTTGTGTCAGGGGACGAACTGGGGGCCTTGGGTGGCAGGCGGCCCCATCACCACCACTTGAGGGGCAGCCTGAGCTGGACCATCTAAACGAGGAGAGGGGTGAAGAGCTGACAGGGCCTACATGCCTGACCCAACAAGCATCAGATGGCCTTCTGGAAGCGGGGAGTGGGAGCAGAACCAGATTTATTAAAAATCTTATCTGGAGGGTTTGCATTTCAATGGGCTGTGGATTTGCATATTTTAACAATAACCTCCGGGTTCTTCTGTCTGGTCTGCGCTCACTGGCTGTCTCTCTAAACCATGATCACTGCTTCAGTAAACCCTTCCTAATCCAAAGGTACAACATCGCCACTTTGCTGGAAGAGGGAGGATTAAAGGCCTTTCTCTCTGGACCAGAAATAGGGCTGTTCGGCGGGTGACCACTTCTGGCCTCTGGACCCTCCTGCTGCCAGGGCGTGGCTGAGGCAGGAGGGAGCGATGCTGGTGACAGGTGCATTAGAGGGTTCAGTCATCCATTCGCTGGTGGCTCGGATGGTAAAGAATCTGCCTGCAACGCAGGAGACCCAGTTTCGATCCCTGGGTCGAGAGGATCCCCTGGAGAAGGGAATGGCTCCCCACTCTAGTATTCTGGCCTGGAGAATTCTATGGAACAGAGGAGCCTGGTGGGCTACAGCCCATAGCGTGGCAAAGCATCAAACATGATTGAGCGACTAACACGTTGATTTTTCATCCATTTGCTCAGTGAGCATCTGAACACCTACTGCGTGCCAGGCGTGGTGGGAACAGATCCGTGTGGGCCTTCCCTCATAAAGAGGAGACAAACGTTAAACAAATAAATCTACAAATTGAGAACCATACTACTCATAACTGTCCTAAGTTGTGGCAAGGCAGTGAAGAAAGGGGAGCTTGAAGGGACCCTTCAAGGTAGGGGCAGAGTAGCTGAGACCTGAAGGATGTATGGGGGGTGGCCTGGCAGCAAGCGCCCTGCACCCACAGGTGGGCTTGGGACCTGCCCTCACACCCTGGGAAGGGTGCCACTGTCTGGCCTGACCAGAGCAACATCAGAGTCTGGCCCACGGTCAGGGGCTCCAGCAAAGGTCACTCTGCAATCACTGCTGGGTGTCCTTGAGTCAAACTTTATGATGACAGCCCTTGACTCTCTCACTCCTCTCTATGGAGTGAACCATATGCAATTTGGTGATTAGAACAGTGTATTTACAACAAGCTGCAAATAGTGTGTGCCACTTCTGCCAGGCCCCTTCCATGTCTCGAGGGGACTTCAGGAGCCCCGGAGCAAGGGATTCATCCTTTCCTTCCAAGGCTACTGAGGGCCTACTGTGCACAGCCTGGGGAATCCAGGAGCCTGGAATTCAAAATCTGCCCTCTGGGGCTTTAAAGAAACAATCCCTCCATTCATTAATTTGTTCATTACGAATTGCTAAGAGTAGCAAAGGCAAAATCCAGGTGGAGGGCAGGGTCTCTGAAGAGCAGCCCACCTGTGGTCCCCACAGACCCATTCAGGGGTTCTCTTCTCTATCCGTACTGGATGATTGCCTCCTCATTTATACCAGAGGCTGGAAATTCTCAGTCTATCCTCCACAAATTACCCAGAGGTCATCTTTAAGAGATAAATCTTTGAGTAACACTGTTTCTGGAGCTTGTGCACAGTTCCACCTGAAAACACGTGATGGTCAAGGAAATGTCTGATGCCTGGAGATAAGCCTGCAAGGTGATGGGGACGCAGAAAGGCACCGTGTTCAGCCCCACCCTGTGCTGTCACCCAGGCCTCCCCCCTCAGGAGGGTCCCATCCTTGGAGTTTAGTGCTCTTCAATTGCCACCTTGAAATTCTCACAATGTTATCCTTGAACTTGGGTTTCCTAAGTGTAGTCCGTGGCGTGAAGAAGCCTGTGTAGGGGTGGTTGGGGACTCTGCTTATGATTGATTCTGCCTCCTCCCTGCCTGATCCACATACATCCTGGCCCCCACGTGCAATCCCTCTGCTTTCTAGGCCAGCCAGCAATGGCCTGGGTGGGGTTTAGGTAGGGTTGGGTCAGGCCCACTATCTCTGTGGGCACCCCCTCCACCCCCGGCTCAGCGCTGTGACATGTCTGGTCAACAGAGCCCTTATCGTAGCAAGTGACTAATGCACCTCTGAAACAGACTTTAAAATACCCTTGAGGGTCACCTGCCCACGTGGGTTAGGGCCATGGGCACAAGTGAAGTGTAGCCTGAGTTCCCAGGGCCCGCCCTGGGCTTGATTGTACCAGGTTGGTCTGGAGTCAGTGGAAAGGGGAACCCAGCCCACCCCCAGGATACAGCACAGGGCTCTGGGTTCCTCTGAGGGTCTCAATGCCTGAGGGGACCTCCTCTTTCTTCTTAACCTTCCTGAGTCTAGCTTACATTTCTCTCCTCAAGGCACCCTCCAGGCATGAGCCACAAAAACGGAAATTGTATAATTTTGGTGATTCTGCATGGGAGTTAAATGTTCTGATGTTTGCATTTAAAACTGGCATCACACAAAATAAAGATGAATGGTAGAATCCATGCTAATACTTTAAATTTTATATTTTTCTTTACTTAAAATGACATCAAATAGCTGAGCAAAAAAAAAAAAAAAATACCATGACAAGTCAAGAAAGATAGAAACCATGAAAGAAAGGGAAAGCTTTATATTTTAGTGCTCTAATGATGACTTTCCCCTTGCTTTTTGAATAAGTGAAAGTGTTAGTCGCTCAGTCGTGTCTGACTCTTTGCAACCCCATGGACTGTAGCCCGCCAGGCTCCTCTGTCCATGTGATTCTCCAGGCAAGAATGCTGGAGTGGGTTGCCATTCCCTTCTCCAAGGGATATTCCCAACGCAGGGATAGAACCCAGGTCTCCAGCACTGCAGGCAGATTCTTCACCATATGAGCGCTGCAAATTGTCTCTTCCCAGAGCAGCGATGCCACTGGGGTTGGGGCACAGATGTCCAAACAAGCCCAGAATGCAGGGTCTGCTTCTTCACCGTTTCCATGGCCATCATGTGTGCTAGGGTGGGGGACAGACAGTGTAAAAGCTGAGTTCTCTGGGAGGATGAGAACAGATGGGGGACAGAGGAAGAGTAAGGGCCAGGTTTGAGGAGTGGGTGGGTGCACACAGAGCTAAGAGCTGCCTGCTCTTAGCTGGCAGGCTGCAGGTTTGGACAAGAGTAAGAATCAGCATTACCAGATGGCTTCCTGGTTTGGGGAGATGTGAGCCCTTCAGGTAAGCAGGGAACAGCATACCACCAGGTACCCACACACCCCGAAAGGAGCCAGGAAGGACCCTTGGCTTTGAGGTTTGGACACCCACCCTGAAAGTACATCCAGGGGCTCAGCTGCCACTGGAGAGCATGCTGACCGTCTCCACAGGCCACCACGGTGACCCTGCCACCCCCACCATCCTCCCCCACCCCCAGCCTCATGCAGGGCACCGGCCCAGACCTTTTCTGGCCCACAGATTGGCAAACAACAAGGAAGCAGACGTTTGTGAGACCACTGCACTAGTTTCCTCCCTCATCTCATTTAATTCTATCCCCAACCTGAAGAAATTCCTTCATGAGGTCTGCGATGTCACACAAGTACCACTCAAGCCTGGGCGTGGGTACATGTGTACACACACACACTCACACTCACACTCCAGGAGATAAGAGTCCTGAGTTAGAGTCTGGGAGTCTGTAAGTAGGAAATCAGGCCCCTGCTGTTGTTTGAGAAACAAGTGACTTTCCCAGTCTGTCACACTCACACACACACACTCACACACACACACAAGAGAGAGAGAGAGAGTAGTATAGGCCACGTGTGGCCAGGGAGCTGAGAGATAACCAGTGAAGTCTTACTGGAAGGACAGGAAGTCTTGTTGAGGAGAAGGAGGGTGTGGGTGACCATTCCCTGGTGGCTTGGATGGTAAAAGATCCACCTGCAGTGCAGGAGACTTGAGTTCAGTCCCTGGGTCTGGAAGATCCCCTGGAGGATGGAATGGCAACCCACTCCAGTATTCTTGCTGAGAGAATTCCAAGGACAGAGGAGCCTGGAGGGCTACAATCCATGGGGTCACAGAGAGTCGGACACGACCCGGCTACTGACACTTTCACTTCACTTTTTTATTTTTTTATTTTTGGAGGAGTGACAGGGAACTTTCCCGGCTCTTTTTTATTTCTGAGACAGCTCTCGGTCAGCTCACTGGGGCCTGGTGTGAAGCAGGGGGCTCAGGGTCCTGAGAAGACAGGTGGAGGGGGACCCAGCTCGGGCAGGGGGCCCAAGGGAGGCTTCGGGCAGTCAGGGCTGTCCCAGCGAAGTGGGGCCCTCACCAGCACTGTCTTAGGCAAGGGCTGGAGAGTAAGGGACATGGGAGGGGGGGACGCGGGCTCAGCTCTCTCCCCAAAACCTCCATGCCAGCCCTCAGGAAGGTGATCACTGCAGAAGCAAAGCTGGGTGAAGACAGCCCCTCTCTGGTCTGATGGCAGAACACCTGGGGGCCCATGCTGCAGGCTGGCCCTGCTCTGGTGTGGTCTCATGCCAGCCTCGAGGAGCCCCTTGCAGGGCCAGGGAAAAGAGACGGGGGGTGGGGGGGCATGGCTGCCATGCAGGAACAAGCCCAGAAGTACAGCTGGAGTTGTACCAGGAGGACAAGGGAAAGGGTAACCGAAATCACAATGGTTAATCAGGGTCGGCTTCCCAGGTGTGGAGGGAGGGCCCAGCACCGTGGCCCAGAGTGGGCAGCAGAGAGCCGCAGGGGTCGGTGGGAGGATCACGTGGGCCCCCAGAGCAGAGATGAGTGGGGTGTGGGAGGGCTAGAGGATGTCAGGAAAGATCTGGCTGGTCTGTCCATCAGTCTTTTTGTCTGCCCACTGGCCACAGGCCTCTTTTTCCACAGGGACCCGCGCTGGACAGACAGGTGAAGCCCTTGGACTAGCTCAATCATCATATTTATTCTAATTGTATCGTAATCGTCCCCAAGGAGCCCGGTTCAAATGAGCTTGACATTATTAAAATTTTAATGCCCAGTTTTCATAGCTGAATGAATATTTAAAGGGTATGTCCCAGCTTAAGTTATGATGATGAAGAAATTAATGGAATGTCTTGTTTAATGCATGGATATGTGTTGACGCAAAAAGTGGCAGAGATGGGGAGGGGGAAGGGAGACCCAGCCAGAGCAGAAGGGGCCTGGGAGGGAAGAAGCCCTGCCACCCACCCTTGGCTACAGCAGGACAGGGAAGGCCCCAGTGCTGGGCCAGGGCCACTCGTTCCCCCTGAGGGTGCCCCCCGGGCTGGAAGCAGGAACACAGTTGATGACAACAAAAGTTAGCGATGTCCCTGGAAGGGCTGACCCCGGAAGCATGAGGGTGGCTTCATGCTTGACCTGTCCTGCCGGCAGCCCAGCTCAGGTACCAGGAGACCCAACCTGTCCTGAAGGCCACAGGGTGCATGGGGTGATGACCTCCAGGCTGACTACCCTGCCTCCAGCCCCAAGCCCACCCAGAAGGACAATATCATGTCTGAGAGGGACGGCTGGACAGAGGAGCAAGGGATGGGTTAGAGGAAAGACACAGAGACTTAGGCTCCAGCATCCTCGACATTCACTTACAAGGGACGCCCTGGGGCTCATGTGGCTGAGAGATCCAGAAGCCACGGTCAAAGTTAGAAGGGCAAGGAAGTGGCCACCGCCCCTCCTGCCTTCCTCCCAGTATCCTCTCTCCTCCTCCTCACCGTTTCTGCCTCGCAAGGCCATCTCTGCGACATGGTCTGGCCTCCTCTCCCCAAGACAGAGGTAGGCTTAGACAGGGCCTGAGTCTGGAACAAGGAAGAGAGACACTGGCCAAAGAAGGGAGGTCTCCCTTCAGGCCCGAGGCATTGGTACAGAGCCTGCTAAGAAATCTTCCCGACTGATCCTGACACTTTATTTCTGCTGAGAATTAAGAAAGCACAGGCCATATTTTCTCTCTCCATCTAGCCAGGCACTCCCTGACATCCCCGCGAAGGCTATGTGGATGCTGACCATCCCTAGATCGTAATGGGATATGAAATATGACCCCGGGAGCCACAGGTCCATGGGAGCCAAGTCAATTCTGCTCTGCCACGGGTGCCTGGACCATAGCCGAGGGCAGGTGGGAGGCTGGACAAGCCCCTGAGTCCCTGCTGCCAGGATCCCAGCGATGGAGGAGGTCTGGGAGCACCGTCCAGGGCTGGCCGGCTCAGGGAGGGCTTGTGGGGGGGGCAGCGGGGGGCTGAAGGGAACCAAGACTGAGTCCATGATCCGGGGCAGAGCATTCACAAATGCCCAGGTACCAAGGACAGTGGGCCAGTGGCTGGCTGCCTGAGGGTGGGGCGCTCCCGCAGGGGAAGGCTCCAGGCACAGGCAGATTCCATTTGCCTTGTTTACTTTACCGTGGAAAATGGGTCTCCACACAACAGAAACTGTTTCCCCTGCCCTAGCCCTTGTCAATCAGTAGGACTCACCCCCCTCTGCTCCCACAAAGAGACAGCTTGCCATGGGACTCAGAAACAAAGTGCCAGGGAAAACGCCCTCCTGGGTCCCCTGACCTAAGCTTTCGGTGCTGGCCTGGGCCTGCTCTGGCCCCAGGGATGAAGTCTCCTCTGTGGGCTCCTCCCTCCCTCATCTCCACAGCTACAGAGCTCGGCTAACTCTGGTTCACACACCTCTGCCTTCCCCTGCTCACCCAAGTCCTCCCTGGAGAAGCCTGCATCACTCCACCCCCATTCCCACCCTGCTCTTCTACTTTGAACTTTCCCAGACCTTCCCCAAGCCTGTCAGGCCTGATTCCCAGCATCTTTGAACATGCAGCCCAATGTCCAGAGTCCTGGGTTCATCTTGATCACCATTGACCACCTGTGTGACCTCAGGAGAGTTTCTTAACCTCTCTGAAACTCTGTTTCCTTGGCTAAAGATTCTCTATTTGCATACACCCTAGGGGAAGTGGTCATATTCTGACAATGTAATTTTGGAGCAGCTGCTTGTGTTCCTGTAGGTGTAGCAGAGCAGTGGCCCCCTTGCAACTCAATGCCCAGTGTTGACTGTACCTTCTATATGGAAAAGGGAGAATTCCTGCAGGGCCTTTCCCCCTGGAGTACCAGGAAGACTTCAGGTTCAAGGGCAAGAGGCCGGTGGGGCTGTGGGAGGGAAGCTTTCAGGCCAAAGGAACATACAGGGGAGAAAGGGCTGGGCCATGAAGAATGAAATAATACAAGAGGTGGTGGGGTCAAGATTTGGGGGGCTAGGCTGAGGAAGTTGTAGCCAATGCAATGACCCACTCGCCCCTTGCCAGAAGGACATCTTCCCTTCATCCCCTCCTTCCAGAGCAGCAGTGCAGTGTGCTCACTCAGTCGTGTCCAATTCTTTGTGACCCTATGGACTGTAGCCTTCCAGGCTCCTCTGTCCATGGGATTTTCCAGGCAAGAATACTGGAGTGGGTTGCCATTTCCTCCTCCAGGGGATCTTCCCGACCCAGGGATCGAAGCTCCATCTCTTGAGTCTCCTGCATTGGCAGGTGGCTTCTTTGCCACTGCACCACCTGGGAAGCCCCACTTCCAGGGCAGCTTGGGGTCAAATGAGATGAAATGTATGAAGGCCAATCCACCCTCGTCGTGTTAGCTCCATGCCTACCAACCCTGGCTGCATCCCAGACCTCCCACTCCTGGGGCTTAGCTTTTCATTCGAAAAAGAGAGAATAATACCTTCCTCAGAGAATTATAAAAATTACATAAGCAAGAAAGCCATAGAAATTCATCCAGGAGAGTACAGTGGCCAGAATGGGGGGGAAGGGGTGTTCCAGAAGAGGGGAGAGCCCTGGAAAGGGATGGGTGTGGAGCCTCCAAAGGCATAGAATGGAAACCGGGGAGAGAGCCCTTCTCCCACAGTCAGATGCCTGCTCGGCCTCCTGGACCTTTTTCTCAAAGACTGGAAAGGAGGTGGTTTATGGGGGAGCCAGGGCCCCTGAAAGGAAGCTGGGAATTTCCTTATGTCCCTCATTCTTCTCCCTGTGATCGGAGGTCCCCGTACTGCACGCTTAACTCTGCTGGCCGAGCTTAAATACCCAGCACCTTCCTTTCCCTCGGCTCCATGAGGGGCGCCGAGTGGGGACCTCTGAGCAAACCGTGGCACCCAACCCCTCTCAGTGGGCCGGCCTCCCAGCATCCTCTCCTGCCCCCGGCCACCTGAGCTTCCTGGTCCACTGCTCCGTGCCCTGCCTCCCGCCTCTGTCCTTCCTCGAGTGATTCTGCCCTTCCCCGGCTTCATCTTCACCTTGCTGAGTCATGGGCCCCCACGCTCCCCCACCCAGTCGTCCTGTCGCAGCCAAAACTTGCTCAGAATCCTAGACCAGGAGGAAGCTTGCCACGGGCTAGTCCAGCCTCCTCCAGACACTAGGGGAAGTGGCAGTGAAAAGTCCCCTGGTACAGAACAAAAAGCCCCCAAATAGCCCTGGCAGACCCGGGTTCTCAGGCACATCCTGGCACTAGTCGGCCCCACCTTGGCTTCTGCATCTATCAAATGGGGCGTTTAGTACCTGCCTGCCTCTCGGGGTGCATTTGGGAGAGGAATGCAGGTAGGATGAGGGATCAGGGAGGTACATGACACGCAGAAGCATGGGCAGAGACACAAAGTTCGATTCCATTTGCGCGATTCCTCCCGTTTTTATTGTCTGAAATATTTTGGGACCTCAGGGCCTCCTAGCCCATCCTATGCCTCCGGCAGCAGGAGGATTAAAAACAGGCTGCGGAGCCTTGGATCCTTGGAGTTGCGAGCCCCCTAGTGGCCTGAATGAGGCATGGAACGGATCCTCCCGAGAGGCCAGCTGCTGGGAGATGGGGAGGCAGGCGGTGCCCCCTGCTGTCCTCCTGGGACCCGGACATCACAGGAGATGAGTAGCTGCCCACCCCGCACATACTGCCCCCACCCCACCGAGGGGACAGCCTGGCTGCAGTCTGGAGCCCCAACCCTGAGCTCTGCTCCAACCAGGAGCTGCGCAGCCCAGAACCTCAGGGACCCCTGGGACCCATCCTCGGCGTCTGGGGGATGGCACAGTAGGTGGGGCGCAACTCGCTGCCAGGCCCCAAGCCAGGCAGGAGTCAGTTTCGGCCGGAGACCAACGCTGCAAAGCCAGCTGTGTCCTGGGTGGACCGACATCGGGGTTAGCAAGAGCCGCTCACGGCTGGCAGGCGACACCCCAGGGTCTTCAGTCCTGAGAAACCCTCCTGAAATCAGGGGGGCCCTGGGGACCGCACTGGGGAGGGGAGGGGGCGGGGCTTTAGTGAAGACCCTCACCTCTGAGTCTGTCGCTGCGCGGGTGCTGGGGGCGCGGGTGTCGGCGTCAGTGGAGTAGGCAGTGTGCCGTGTCCCTCGAACACCCACGCACCTCGGGGTGCAGGCGCGCCTGCTCTAATGCTGCCCCCTGTGTTCTGTTACAGATGAACCGGCCGATCCAGGTGAAACCGGCGGACAGCGAGAGTCGAGGAGGTAGTAGCTGCCTGCGCCAGCCCCCTTCACGTGAGGGCCCACTTGTCTCTGCCCCTCCCTTCCCTCCATTCCCGCCCCCGCCCCCCCCCCCCCGACGGGAGGGGGTTGCAGCGACTCCCTGCCGCTGCCTCCGGCCCCCTGGGGACCTCGTGGCTGGGGCTTGGGATGGGCCTTTGGGGCCCTGGGTGGCTGGTGTGGGGACAGGCTGAAGAGGAGAGTGGATTGGGGTCTGCATTTTGCTGCGGTTCCTTCCTCTCTGTGAGTCAATGGGCAGGATGTCCTGGGTGCTTCACTGCCCCCTTTAAGACACCTCCATGTCAGGAAGGAGAACCCCACTGTGATGGAACTGGACTGGCTGAAAGGGCGCCAGGATGGGAGGGAGGAAATGTGCTTCAATCCTTCCCCAGCCTTCCCAGGTGGTGCCCGTGGTAAAGAGCCCGCCAGCCAATGCGGGAGAGGGAAGAGATGCGTGTTCGATCCCTGGGTGGGGAAGATCCCCTGGAGGAGGGCACGGCAACCCACTCAGTATTCCTGCCTGGAGAATCCCCTGCAGATTCTCCCTGCAGACAGAGGAGCCTGGTGGGCTACAGTCTGTAGGGTTGCAAAGAGTCGGACACGACTGAAGTGACAAAGAACACGCCTGCGGTGGAAAGTTCAGGCCAGAATGGGCAAGTCTGAGGAGGGCTGCCCTTGGGGGTGTGGGGCCACTCCGGCCAAGATCCAGACCTAGATACAGGCAGCCAGGCTGATGTCTGGAAGGGACAGAGCAGAAGGACACACACAGCCTCACCCACATACACAGGCCCCTGCTCCCTGAGGGAGGCTCTGCTGTCTCCACCAGCATGGCCTCACCCCCACTGTACACAGAGGCCGGACCAGGCCAGGCTCCAGCTTCCTCTGTCAAGCACCCACCACCCGGGTTCTGACCGGGCACCATGCCCACTCCATGCCCACGCCAGCACCCTCTGCCCCTGGGCCCTCCCTGAGTGGGCCTGGACAGTCACTCTCAGCTCAGCTCAGCTGGGCACTGAGGAACATCTCTCTCCCTATCCCTCCCTCCCCCCAAATCTTCCAGGAAATTAAGAGCCTGAAGTCATATAGACAAAAGCTGCTTGGAAAGTTGAGAGGCGAGCTCCTTGTCCTGTAGTGTGGCCACAGGTAGCCTGCCCACCCCGGGGAGGTGTGTAGGGTCCCTCCAGCACAGGTCGCTGCCCTCGGGGGTCCAGCAGGGCTCCCACCTGGGTACAAGGCCTCTGTGGCCCTCGACCCAGGCCTCGAATCACGCCCGACAAGCCTAACCCGCATCCTGGTGCTGCCCGAAGAGGCCCCATGCCCCAGGGCACAGGCCCGTGTCCCCGTGACCCCCTGAGGGCGTCCCGTCCTGGGGACCCCCATCGTGGAGGTGGAGACAGGTCAGTTGGTGAGCAGAAACGGTTTGTGCTGAGATCACCTGATTCACACTGCTGGCTCCTGCCCCCTCCTGGCAGCCCAGTTACTTGCTTTTCTCTGCCCACAGAGGCTCCTCAAACACCCAGGGCCAGGCCTCCGGCAATGCCCCTGCCGTGTGGCGGGGCCTCAAGGAGGCAGCGGAGACCCCGGCCCTCTGGGGGACACCTGTCATGTAAGGTAGGGAGCTCGGACGGCAGGCGGCACCCACACCCCCAGAGGAGGGGTCCCCGAGTTGGGGGCAGCCAGAGGCCTCAGAGGAGGTGGCACCTGAGCTGATTGAAGGAGGGGACGTTCCACACCTGGGGATGGTGGAGTGGCCAGAAGAAGGCCCAGTGTGGGGAGGGCCTTCCGCCACCACCACCAGCTCAGAGTCCCGCCCGTTTACCCCAGGCTCTTAGCCGGGTGTCGGGAGGCCCGCCGTGCCGACCTCCAACACAAACCATTTCTCCCTCACTTGCCTTGGAGGCAGTCGCTCTCCAACTCCAAGTTGCTAACCTCATCTCCTTTCTCCCATACATCTCCCGCGTTGACACTTGCCCCAAACCAGATTAATCAGCTTTTTTATCCTTCCTGTGGTAGCAAGGGGGTGGGGGGGGGGGGGGAGGTGGGGGAAAGCGAGCCAAACCTAAACATCTATCTATTAATTGCATATTCAATATTAGACAGTGAGATGATCCTGAGTCAGCATCATCACCAAGCTCTTTGGAAAAAAAAGAAAGTTTAAAATAATTTAATATCCATTAAATAGTTCTTCTGCGGAGGGAGGGGAATGGGGGAGAGGTGGGCATTAACAAAGATGAAATAAATGGGAACAGGAGATGGGGAGATGGAGGCAGGGGTAGGAGGGGGAGGGGAGGAGAAATCCAACAGGAAGGGAAGAGCCCAGAAAGGAGAAGCGGAAGGGGCAGAAGGCAGAGGGAGGCCTGGGAGAAAGCAGGTAGGGAGGAAGATGGCTGGGAGCTGGGGAGACTTGGGGGGCACAGGTGTGGGAGCGAGAGGAAGGGGTCCCGGAGGGAGAGGGGGGTTTATCCCCACCCTGGTTCTCCTCATCCCAGGTTACACAGGCTAGGTGCTTGGCCGGGGCTCCCCAGGAAGAGTACAGGACGGCAGTTCTTGTTCTGGTCCTGGGTTCTAGTCCCACCTTTGTGCAAAATGAGCTCTGGCCTGGACACCACTTCTCTGGGCCTCCACGTCTTCACCCAAGGATGGGAGAGCTCACTTCCCAGGGAAGCTCATGTTTACAAAGCACCCACTGAGGGCCAGCATTTATTTTGTTTTATTTATTTTCCTTTTGGGAGCACCATGCAGCTTGTGGAATCTTAGTTCCCCGGCCAGGAATTGAACCCAGGCACTTGGCAGAGAGCAGAGTCTTAACCCCTGGACTGCGGGGGAATTCTTAAACAAACACACATAATCCATACTACAACTCTGGGAAGTGGAAGTCATTGGCCCCGCTTAAAGGTACAAACAAGAGAGGCCAAGTAACTTGTTCCAGATCACACAGCTATATGGTGGCCGAGCCAAAATTCAAAGCCCTGCCTGTCAGTCACCAGCACCCAGACGCTCTGTGTTCCTCAGACTCCTAGGATAGTCTTTCGGACTCCGGGGACAATGGGAAGGTGCCACAGGCATTTGTCTTACCTCTGGGCTCATTCTCAAGGTAAATGAGGGAGGCAGGTCCTGGCTGGACAAGGAGCTCCGGGACCTACCCATAGGACGTGAGAGACCGGGGCTGCAGGGGTCAGAGAAGAGAGCACTCAGCAAGGAGCAAGCAGGGAGGGCTTTCCAGAGGTGAAAACTGGACCCAGAGGTGCAGACGCGGCAGGAGACCGGGAGGGCACGAAGTGATAATGGAGCCCGAGCACAGGGCCGAGGGGGCGCGTGTCTCCATCAAAAGCAGGAGCCACTGACCCTGTGTCGGGACCTGGTGGAGAGAGGGCATCAGAGCTTCCTGGAGCAAATTGTATTCAGCTCAGATTCACCCCCAGCCCCAAAGAAGCAAGCCACCAGGGGAGCCAGGCAGGCCGGGGACAGCGAAACACCAGGTGGGCCCCCCGCCCCCGCCGGTACCTGCCCTGACATCTCAGAGGCCAGGATGCTTCCTCGCGCATGCCCTGTGATGTCCCGAGTCTCCCAGCAGACCGGCGTACCCGCCCTGAGAGGGGCTTCACGGCCAGCGTCTCCGCGGCCTCGGGGGCCCTCTCTCAGTTTCGGGGGTGGTGCCCGCAGCCCTGACCCCTCCTATCCACCCCGCTCTCAGTCCAGGGTGGGCCTTACGGCCCAAGACAGGACAAGCCTCCCACCCCACTCCAAGCCAGGCTCCTGTGGACAGGTTGTGAGGGCTCCTTTCAGGAAAGCAGGCTCTGGGCAGCTGGCCTCAGGCAGCAAAACTGCCTGGGGACCCTGGACTGAACTGGAGGAGGCTGGGGCTGGGGTCCACCCCCACCCCCCAGAGGGCTCTCAAGAGAGTCAGCAGGCAAGTAGGAGCCCTTGAGATGGGAAGGAGTGGCTGAGACCTGAGCCAGCAGAGTGGATGTTGGCCGGACCCCACCCCAGTCCTAGACACACCCCAGCAGATGTGAGCTGTCCCCTTGGAACCACCCTCTGCCACTCTTGGCCCCATCGCCAGAAACCACCCCCACCTCTTCCCAGTAGCCGGCTACAGGTCAGGAGGTTCAGCAAGTGGGGGCCTTGTCCGGGCTGTGTATGGAGGAGCCCCTAGCGGGGTGCACTCACACACCTTCCCACCATCCAGCTGTCCACCCACGCCGACAAAGGCACCCACACACACCCAACTCCACCTGCTCCCAGCGAGGCGGGAACTAACTGTCCCCCTAGCCCATCCCAGGATCCAGTGACTGGGGGTGGGGCACAGACAGGGTTCTTCATCAGGTTTTATCTCATCAACATGAAATGACAGGAAGAAAACAAACAAACAGCGAGATGTCAGGCTGAAGGGTTGGAGAAGTTAGAAATCAAGAGGGCTTGGGAGGGAGACCTGCAGATGGGGGGACTCCGAGACCCAGGGGCCGCCCCCTCAGCGTGAGCAGGGGCCACCAAGGAGCCCTTGTGGAGGTGGGGACGGAAGCAACATTGAGAGCCGCCTTGCAGGATGGCCGCCACGCTCTCACCCCTCCAGGACTTGAACGGGAAACCACAGAATCACATTCCAGCCTCCAGTGGGAGGCCGGAGCTGGGGGTGTGGTCATGCCTGAGTGGGGACCACCAGGGGGCTCCCCCAGCCCCTCCCTGGTCCTTCGGGCATGTTTTCCGGAGGGGGCCTTCATCAGATCCAAGCAAGGAAGGCAAAGGGGCAGCTTAGACTGATCCGGAGAGGGGATGCTGGATGGAGGCCAGCGATCACGGGAGGGAGGGTACGTGCGGAACAGCAGGAAGGCTGAGCGCCCCGTTATAGTTATAAAGTCCTGTGTCTCCCGCCGTCTTCAGGGTCTGGGGAGGTTCCAGAGAGGTCAAGGGGAGTGGCCCTGAGCCTCAGCCATGCCCCCCCCCGCCCCAACATAGGGAAACTTGGAGCCTGGGAGCCCACGTCTGGTCTCTCCACCAGCCCGATCCCCCACCTA